TGTCGCGAAATGCTGTGAAATACATTTCGCGACACTCCTGCATTGAATTTCGAGGGCGCCGAAATGCATTTCAATACAGGGTTTCGCTATTATTCTTGTGCAAAAATTGGAGTTGTACGGTGGCCTAACTTGTGTGAAAATTCGGCCACAACTCCAATTTTTTTGCACAAGAATAATACATGAATAACCCCATTAGAGATTTTCGGAGTCTGATATTATCCTGAAACCTTTTTGAAAAATACAGTATCTCTTTTGAGCTTGAAAAAGGCTAGAAACCTATTATGCTTGTCTGAGAAAAAAAAAGGTTGAGACGCAGAGAAAAAGTGTCTGCGCCTTCACCGTTTGTGTGCTTTTTAGGCTCTCCGCTTCGATATCGCTACCGTATTCAGACTGCAAAAAATACTCTTTAACCTTTTTTTCTCAGAAAAGCATAATAGTAATCGGTTTTTTTTGTGGTTCTCTTCAACTTTCACCACAGTGACATCAAATCCGTAGTGGCATTATATTAGGGGCTGGCACTCTATTGTTCGGAGGTGCTCTGAGGTGGCTATCTAATAATAAGTTTTTACGGTAGTCTTTGCTCTCGGCTCCTTCTACTTTCCCCCCAGACTGCAGCATCGACTAGGCCGTTGAATGTGAGACCCCGCAAATTCCGGGGAAAAAAACCGGGGAAAGTGGGCGGGGTCGAGAAAAACCGTGCGGCAAAACCGTGCCAGGGTTGCAATTTAGGCTCCGCCCCCTCATGACCGTGTCCAAATGTTCAGAAAAACCGTGCGGCAAAACCGTGCCAGGGTTGCATTTTAGGCTCCGCCCCCGACTCCGCCCACTTTTCCCCGATTTTTTTCCCCGCGTTTTTCTTTCCCCGGCATTTGCGGGGTCTCGTTGGATGTAACCATCAAATTGCAAGCGCGCCCCGGCAGACTTGCCGGGGATTTCATAATTCGCGCCGGTACTGTTTGCTTTGTGTTTTTCATCGGTTTCGTGTCTTTGCCTCGCACACGATTCGTTTTTATCCACAAAGTATTGATTACTTTCAGTGCTTCTCGTCATGAGTCGAGTCGTGAGCCGGACTGTTCCCGGCGGAGCGTGTGTCGTCAACAAGGATGACTTTTTAAAGTCCTTCAACGATGTTGATAAAGTTGTGAGTCGAGACTTTCAACAAGCATTTTCTATAATGAACTTTTCAGTCTGTATCGTCACTTGCTGACGCGAAGTCGAAATTTGATCAAGTGATTGCGATTCTATCAAAAAGCCAGGAAGATTGGAATAAGAGGCGCACCCAGGTCGGTCCTAATTCATGAAATAGACAATTCGACGAGGCATTGTTATTGAATTTTGCAAAAGTATAATTTCAGCTACAAATCATCAGATCAATAGTTATCAATTGCGAAGACGTCATTGGAAGGGATCAACTGCTCGGTCAACTCGTTCGTCTAGCTGACTGCCTTGATTTGTCTGTTAAAGATCTGAGATCACAGATTCTGAGAGAAGCCGCCATCACTTGTAGTTTTCTTTTCGAAAAATACGGAAACGATGTGCATCAAATTGCGGAACGGTGTCTGCCAACAGCATTTTCACAGCTGGCCGTGAGTACAAAAGTTATGGCGACGTCAGGAGCAACATTGACTCTATTTCTGGTTCAGGTGAGCTTGAAATATCGAAGTGACATGTTTACAAACGTAATTTTCAGTATGTCCAAACAAAGCAGATATTCACTTGCTTGACTACGTACAGTACATCGAAGGATAAGAATCAACGGAGACAGTTGTGTGTTTTATTAGAAATTGTGATCGAGCATTGGAACGATAAGCTGAAGAAGTCGATTCTTCCTCAGATTATGGAGTTGATCAAATCTGCGATATCAGATGCGGATCCCGAAACAAGAGCCGCTGGAAGAAAAGCGTTTAATAAACTTGATGCGATTCACAGCGAAGAAGCTGACAAGCTCTTCGCTTCGGTAGATGCGAACAAACAAAAGATGCTCAGAGCGAGCGATGCTGCTTCGTCCAGTACGAGTGTAAATAGCGAACGTGGCAGTGCTCCGTTCCGTTCGAAGTTATCTGCAGGAAGTGTGGGTGGGATGAGAAACGTTCCAAATATTTCATCAAGTAAGTGTTGTATTCGATACGAGAAATAACTTTGCGGTTTCTAGAATTCTTGGCTCAAAGGAGTGCCTCTGCAATCGATACGAAACAAGTAACCCGTATGACAACATCTGTCTCCAGAACACCGAACACAAGACCGATGACGACGAGAACCTTATCAAAAGTCGATACATCGCCAGGTGGATCCAAGTTTGCAAGACCAACTGTTGGTACTCTGGGTCCGCGTACGACATCCAATCTACGCGCGCGTGGAAGTGTTCCTACTTCTCAACCTGGATCCCGAAACGGATCACCGCCACGGCGTCCATCTACAACGGGAACCCTTCCAATGGAAATGCAACGTGTAAAGTCGAATCTTGGATCAAGCTCATTTGTTTCATCTTTAACACCTGATCAAGCAGAGAGTTTGCAAAAGGCAATGAACACAGCCAAAGAAAGTCTCGGACAACCATCTCGCACCGAAGATGACGAATTCCTCTTGCCGAAACGAAAGCCAAAGACTCCACAGAAGAGCGCTGTGGACATTTCAAGAGTTGAAGCCGTAATCAGAGCTTGTGTTTCAACATCAGCGAACGAGAAGCGAGATGGAATCAAAATGTTGTCGATAATAGTTTCTGAGCCGAATTTGAGTCAAATTGAACTCAAAAACATTGGACAGGTGCTTAATCGTCTCTTGGGTGAAGCCACAAATCCGGTGGTCTTGGAATCGGTAGCATCATTCGTCAAAGCTCATCACTCTCGTCTCAGCGAATGGCTTAAACTCGGTCTCGGAAAGATGTTCGCCAAGAAGGGATCCGAAATGATGCCGATCATGAAGAAACACATTGTCACGACTATTAACGCAATTCTTTCATCATTCGATCCAGCTTTACAATTGAAAGCTACTTGCGAGCTGATGTGCGATCCAATTCACTTGCTGTCTCCAAAGGCACGTGTCGCTCTTCTAGAATATCTCACTGATTTGCTGGAGAAGCACATGGAACGTGGTTCTCCATTCAACACTAAAGAAGTGAAAGCCACAATTCTGAAGATGTTTTCATGGATGTCAGATCAGCGTAACATGCAACAGATTGTACCAGTAAGATAGATCTATATTCCAAACATTCGTACGGATTCTATTTTTCAGCATGGTGAAAAAGTGCTCTGTGGACTGTTTGCTCTGAATGCTGCTGATTTCTCGGCCCTGTTCAATGATTTCAATCCGGACTACCGCGAGTGGGCATATCGTATTCTACAGGCTCATGGACACAATCAACATGCTCCTGCGCCAGAATCACCATCGCCCGTCAGAGACCAGCAAGTCCGAGCGAACATTTCAAATACAGCTGCTCAAATTGAAGATTTTGTTGTGGCGCGGAACTTTGAGTTGTCAGCAGAAAAGTCTCCTACATCGAGAGGAATGCTGACGTCAGGTTTCAAGAGGACTGATGCCGAACCTCTACGTCCTTTGGAGTCTGATATGAATACACAGCGCATGGATGACATCAGTATCAATGAATCATTTGATAGGCTTAAGGTTAGAATTCTTGAAACTACTGGTTTTTACGCCGCGTTCAAAGTTGATTTCCAGGAGTAATTTCCTGAAAAAACGCTGTCCAAAGCTGCGATTGTTTTACAGATTTACAGTAACAGTAAACTACTGTATCACTCGTTTTGACTGTGTTCTTCCTGTTGATTCATGTCCATTTACGGCGGGCCTTGAAGCGAAGGCCTCT